ACACTACAAGTACAAGAAGCATGCAAGAGGTAACCAAACCAGTCCAAAACAGAGTTATGGCAGGTCTAAAAAGTCACAAAAAAGTGCTTGAACAAAGCCATAAAGAAGTAGAAACACATGCTCATTTGGTGGGCCATCAAGACAAGCAAACAAGACAAGAGGAGGGCCTATTTTGAGCCTCAAAATAGGTTTTCGACCACTGAAATTCCTCTGAAATTCAATGGTTTTAAGGCCAAAACAAGATGATTTCAAAGGCTTTAAAAGAAGGCAAGAAACTTAGCAAATAAGCCACCAAAGAGGGTGAAACGCCCTTAACTCCAAAAACACTTTAAACTACCATTTTTAACACTTAAAAGCAAAGGTTTTTGTAGTTGAAAGCTAGGCCAAAATCAGTAGGCAAAGGTGGCCAAGATTGTGTACAAAAATAAGCTTAAAGAGGGAAAACACTCACCCTTCAAGCACAACACAAGAACAACTACTTTTCTTGAGCCAAAACCACCTTTAGAGCTTAAACCAAGTCCCAAGCTACCTCAGCCCAAAGATGATCCACTCTTGTTAAGGGTTGATAGGTTGAAGATGGATGTATGCAAGCCTTCAAGCACAAAATCCTTAGAGAGAGTGAAATCTAGAGAGGGTTTCTAGAGAGAGAGGCTCCCAAATCTTTTGGCAAATTGTTCTCCAATGTTCTCACTTTGGAATATGAGATATAAGGCTTCAATATATAGCAAAACAAGAGGCTTTGGTCGAAAATATCTCAAGAGAGACAACTGGAACAAGCTGGAGCATAATATTTGTCCAAAACTGCTTTCTGCCATCTGTGGCCAGCACTGTACCACTGTTGGCCGGCACTTTACCATTGTTGGCCGGAAGCACACTCCCTTGGACGGCAGGGGGCCGGCACTGGCCATTCATGGCCGGCACATGGCCCAAAAATCCTATTCATGGTCATAAACTTCCACCTCTGGTTGGATAGAAAAATCTGCTTTTTGGGCCCGACTTCAACTGGATATATCTCCTTCATCTGGATTCATTTTCAGGTCATTCTTGAGCCTAAATTGTAGCCCTGGAAGTCTTCTTTCCAATGCTGGCAGCCTTACTTCAAAATTCCAAGTGTGAAAAAAGTTATTCCTATTTGAGTGAAGACTACTCAGTTTTGATCCTGCCGGGATTCATGACCAACTGCTTCTCCAACTTGTTTTCTCCTCTCCTCTCCTCTTTTCTTCAACTCCAAACCCCTAAACAAGGTGTTTTGAAAGATTTTTCAAAAGAGTTCATCTCTCCTTCATTCATTTCCACTTTGTCCTTGCTCGGTTTACCGAAAAGCGCGACATTTAACAAAATGCGAGCGTTGGAACATTGCAGGAGAATTTTCAAAAATATTTTGAAAGAGAGGGTTTCAAGGTCTTAAAATCTTTTGATCAAGATTGTTTTAGTCCAAAAGGGGTATGAAGTTGGGATTTGACTCTCTCTTTGCTGAAGAAATCGAACCCTTGCACTGCACAACTTTCACCACCAAGTAAACCATCAGTGGCGCCCAAGTCTTCAGGGCGGTCAAAAATGGGGTGTCTACACTTATCCAAGTTAATGCTGATGGTCAAGTTGTATGCTTCTAACAAGTACACGCGTGTAAAGGAATAAGAGAACATAATGGCCTTGCCCCAAAACAATGAGAATAATGCGCATTACGTAGATAAGAGGGATATCTACTTGTATAAAAGCCATGAACCTCATAGTGGAAGGTATGCAATCTTGAATACCGAAAATACTCTCTCATTCTCCCAGATTCTCAGAGAGTACTAACTAGACCGTTGGAGGGGTTTTCCGGCAAGATACCTGCCGATTAGCTCACCTCTGTTGTGTTCGCAGGAGAGATGACACCATTAAAGTGAAAAGAACACGGAGGCAAGGAGTATGGAAGTAAACAATATTTACTCCTCGTACACTATTAATTGTCAATCCAACCCAGCCCGATATTTGCCTACCCTTATTTCTTACGCTTTGTTGGTTGAGTTTTTTTTTTTTCAAAAATAATTAGATGATTTTTTTAAAAAAAAAGAAGAAGAAGAAGAAGAAGAAAAAGAAGAAACTCGTTCTTTTAAAATGATTTTTAAATTTTTGAAAGGAAATAATTTTGAAAAAAGTAAAAATATCTTTTATAGTGTTTAGTTTTTTCAAAATAATTTCTAATTTAAAAAAAAAAATTAAGGAAACAAGTTCATGACCAAATTTCAAAAAATGAAATCTTCCAAAAACCAAAATGCTTCTTCTCATTTAAACAAAGTGTCAAAAAAATTCAATAATATTAAAGATCTTAACAAATGTACTAACAAATATATCAGTTAAATATGATGTTAAGCAGTTTCAACCTCAAGTGATGGGATACATATGCATGTCTCATGTCTTAATTAATATATCTATTATTATTTTTATCATTGTTAAAGAAAAATAGTTTAATAAATATTGGCAAAAAAATTACTTTAAATTTATGGAATTTAATTAAAATATTTTTTTTCAAACTTGAAGATATGTTAATATAATTATCTTAAAAATAATAAGGAAATAAAATAAATGAAGATTATGTAGTGAAATTTCATTTGCCTTCTTCAAATGTATCATTCATATACAAAAAGAAAAAAGAAAAAAAAAAGAAAAAGAAAAAGAAAAAAAGTGTGCAATGCCATTCTACGTGGTATCATTGACTAATAAAAATCACAAAGTCGTTAATGGATAAGGCTTATCTCCCATTAAACTAATGAAGTTGTGGTTTCTACCGCAAAATAAGATCGTTCATTGAATAGTGATACAACCACGTATTATCACTGTTACATCTAATATGTATTCTATGTTCTCATATTAATTTTGTTTATCAATTTAACACTATAATGTGTTAAGTACAAAAATTTGATACAATTAAAAAAATCTAAATAAGATTCAATATAAAAGTAAGGTGGTTATAATGAGTAATTCTATTTTTACACACTAATTCTTATCAGTGCACACGCTTTATGAATACATTCTCAGTGCACAAATTAAAAAATAAAAATTATTAGTTTTTTGTTCTAATAATAGGAAAACTTTATGGTACCCTACCACAAATTGACATAATTTTATCACAAAATTTCGTAATATCAACCACAAAATGCGTAAACTCACCATAAATTAACATAACAAAAAATGTCATAATCAAATCACAAATTTTTGTTACATGAATTATAAAATTTTGGATATTTTGTTACACTAATTTGTAATGAGATTACGCATTTTGTGATTAATATTATAAAATTTTATGATTAAATTATACCAATTTGTGGTAAGGTGCATATGTATATGTAATGCCCCAACCCTTCATATGCCATCGATATTGTCTATTTTGGGCCATGCCTGCACGAATTTGTTCTTTTGTTTTTCCCAATAAGTCACCCATCCCAAAACTACTCCAGCCTAAGCACGCTTAACTGGGGAGTTCTGCTAGGGATTTCACCACCCAGAAAAAGGCCTCGATGCTATACAAGAGTCTAAAGTTTTCACTTTTATAACTCAGGAACTCCCTCTCTATTCCCGATGTGAGACATCGAGACCTTACAGTATGTACCCCTAAGGGAGTGCATACCATAGGCTTTCCCCTAATAATAATTTCATCTTCAATTTCACAACCTTAGAGCATCCTTACCAGATTACCTAAATTTTACCCTAAAATATTATTAAAAAATTCATTCCTTAGTTTAGAAGTTACTTTGTCATGTACTTTTCCCAACAAACTCCCTATTCTTTCTCTATTCTATTAACAAACTCCCATTTTTTTTCCTATTATGTTAAAATATTATTTTTAATAATAAATTTAAAAGAAATAAAAATTATAAATGTGTACATATATATATATATATATATATATATAAGGGAGCTACAGTGACTCCCTATAAATAGGGAGCCACTGTGGCAAATCTAATTTAGGGAATTATTTAGAGGAGCTGATGTAGGTGTACAGAGAGCCATCTATCTCTTAAAATAGGTAAGGAGGGGGTTTGGGGGCTCTGGTGGGGATGCTCTTAAACCTAATTCTTTTCTTATCAAATTTCACCACTTTTAGTGAGAAACAAAACACAGATTTGGTGAGAGTCCATTTCTCACCATCTTTATAAAGCCTCGCTATTGCTCACCTTACTTAACTATCCAAAAAAGTGAAGGGTTTTCAATTCTCACCATTTATTTTCTTTTCTCACCAAATCCTTTCATCCAAATAGTGTTAGGGTTAATTACATTTTTAGCCAAGGCCTGGTTTTGGGGTAATAATTGCAATTGTGGTAATGATAGTGAAATGATAATAATACTTATGACAATAATGATAATGGTGATGAAAATAGTGGTAGTGGTAATGACGGGGATGATGGCCATTGCTATAATGGTGATAGTGGTAATGGTGGCAATAACATTTATAAAGATTTTTTTTTTTAATTTGCTAAACAAAAGGACGGAAATATGTTTATTTATTTATTTTTATTTTTAAAATTTGACAATAGATAGAGCTTTAAATGGGGAAATTCTATTTTTATACACCTACTTATCTCAGTACACACACTTATGAATTTGATTAGATATTCTTTATCTCATTCCACACACCACATATTTCAATTATAATCCTTAACTCAAATATTGCACACACACACTTTTCACCCAAACACACACCCACACAACCTCTAGAGAGAAGAACCACAAGACCCAATGGATTTTGACCACCCCACCGCTGGCACCCTTCGGGCTTCTCACTGCCAAATCTATTTCTTTTTGGTGCTCTTTGTTTTGAACCTTTTTTTTTTTTTTTTTTTTTTTTTTTTTTTTTTTTTTTTTTTTTTTCCCCCTTTTTTTTTTCCCGGGGGAAGTGAGTTTTTATGTAGGTTTTTTTAGATGTAAGATATTAAAATGTCATTTTTTTTTTCTGTGTTTGGGAAGATAGTTAGATTTTTTTGTGGTTGGATGTGATATTTGTGAGAAAAAAAGTGAAATGATTATGGGGTTGGATGTGATATTTTGTTTGGATGTGTTTTTTTTGATTTTGCAACATTTTTGTCTTTTAATGGAAAAAATGAGAAAAAACCTAGGTAAAATTCTTCCCAAACACCACCTTAGACGCCACAGGTCTAAAATTTGAGGGGGAAATTACTTTTTCATTTCGCGCCCTCTTCTACATTCTCTGTTTAAACAAACACAAAAGTCCTCTTCTCTCACACATCACCACCAAACCTCACCCCACCTCATCTCAGCACAGTCCCTTACCACCGTCGCTCACCGTAGCTCACCGTACATTGCACATCGGCACCGCCGCAGCCGCAAATCACCACCGCCACCGCCGCAGATCACAGGTTCTCTCTCTCCCTCTCTGTGTCGGTTGCGCTCTCTATCTCGCTCTCTTCTCTCTCTCTCTCTCTCCCTTCCTCTATTTCCCCAACTATCAACTCTTGCTATAGGGTTTTATATGATTTATACTAAATAATTTCGTGTTGATTTCTTAAACTGGTTTGATTTTGGGCAATACCCCTCATTTTGCTAGTTTTCAGGAGGCTTCTCAGTCTCACTCCATGGTTTTGCTACATTTGTTTTCTGAGATATTGTGTAGCCTTTCACATATCCTCCCACTGTCTTTTGAAGTACCAAGACTCTGTGAATGTGCTCTTCAAATAGTTCCTAACATCATTTTGGTATTCTCTTCTGTCAGCATAATTGAGGGAAATGTCATTCCTAACCCTTTGTTATCTTGACCTAAACCAGTTCCATATAGGTTCAGCACAAACAAACCTATGCACTTTCTTGTTCTGTCTGACGTATACAAATTTGTTGTGAAGGTTTCTTCAAGTAGATATAATTTCTAGTGTTCTAATGCTTTACTTATTTCATTTTTGTAAAATTCTGTTCACATCTTCAGAGTACTTCCATGTTTCTGATCGAGGGTTCCTGAAATTAGAAAATAAGACATGGTATTTCTACACGATTGTGTGCTTGGGCGTATATGCATTTTTATATGCTATGCAAGTTATCCATCTTCTGTCTTATGATGAAAATAACTATTCAGCATTTGGTCTTTGAATGGTTTTGTGATTTTAAAATTTAATTTTTTAAATCATTTTGATGGGTTGTCATTTGATTACCTTCATGGCCTTGTTTTATGGTGTAATTTTTTCTTGGCTTAACAATAGTCATGTTACTATTAATTAACTTACTTGGTAACAAATTGTTCTTTTAACGTATTACATGACAACAAAGAGTGTTTAATTGTTGATTTGCTAAATTTTGTCCATGTTAGGGGTTTGACATTTGGAAAAAACATCTATTGTCAATTAGGAAAAAGAAATTCTGAATATTTCTATATAAGGTTTTTCCCCCACTACACAAAACTCCATGTTCCACCCCCTTGCAACACGACATACATGCTAACAGGGCAATGAGGTTGAAGGCTACTTGAATGAACTGGAACTCCATAACAAGAAGGTTGGAACCTAAAGATCAAGGCATTATAAACCTATTAGCAAATCAAGGACACTTGATTGGACCACACAATTCTTTCTCTTCAACTATGGGAAAAGGGAAATAAATAACAGAGTTCGAAGATCAAACAAACTACGCAGTCAGTAATATCACCAGTTAACACGTAGGTCAGACATAGAGGAAACTACTACTTTAGGTGAAGAAACTCCCTAAGAACTGAATGTAGGGAAAAAAAATGAAAGCCATACCTGAAGCTTAAAATTTTGATGTTTTTGTGGGTCATCTTGGCGGTCAGAATCTGCTTCAGTATATTCATCATGCTCTTCTTGGTCTGCCTTTTCAAGTACTACTTTTATAGTCTCACCAGTCCTTGGGATATATCCAAACGCCTCACAGATAAAAAAAAATTATGGACCACTAGACAGGCATGAGTTCATTTTGCCTGGACTTCATAGATGAAGTTATTAATTTCAAAAATGGAAGGGAAAAAAAAGAAGGAAAGAATCTCTAATAAAACTAGTAAAATAGTAACAAATGATGCATAAAAACTAAATACCCAGTGACGCAGGACAAGTAGGGACAGCAGCAACAATGTGTTTACGGACTGATTTTAATTGGGGTTTTATGGCTGAAATTGCAATAAGAGTATAGGGGTTTTAAAGGTTTGTTTAGAGTAATAAAGGGGTAAGCGTACAAGCATGAAAACATGAGTTTTTGGCACTATTCAAGGGCTGCTTTAAGCCCTGTGAACAGTACCCGTGAACAGAGTTTGAGCTGTTAAAGTGTCTACAAGAGGGAAAGATGGAGAAGAGGAAGATAGTTTCTACAAATCACTCCTAGAGGCCTTAGGCATCACACAATCCATAAGAAAGCATCAAAGCTCTTGAAAATCTCTAAAATATCAACTTTATTAAATTATAAGCATTACATGACTTTATATAGATTTTAGAGACTTCCTTTATCAACCAAGATTCTAAAATATAAAACTAATAAAATTGCTAGTACATTAATTTGTCCTTTAGTATTCAAATGTTATTCCATGTCAAGATAGTAACAGAATTGAGTTAAGAATATGAATGGAAATGTTTGTTAATTATCAGTCTTGATGTATATGTCTATATGCATTAAAAATTTGTGCTCATTGTGCTCTTTGGCCTTTGATTATGTTAAATTGTAATAGAATGGCTCCTGCGAAAAAGATGCGCCGTTTCCCACCACCAAAGAGGGCATTAATTGAACCATACTCATCGCAGACCGATACACCTACACCTACTCCTGAAGGTGTTGCAGCAGATGGATCTCAGACTATTGTACCATCTCCGTCTGAACAAGCTGCATTGTCAGGATCTGAGACTGTTGCACCATCTCCGTCTGAAAGTAATGCACCAGCTGCATCTGAGAGTTGTGAAGCATCTCCGTTTGAAACGAATCCACCATCTCCTCAAAGTCAACCGAGTGGCGCAGGTAATTAAATATGTTTGAGATCTGTCTTCAATTTATATATATTGTTAATATTTTGTAATTTTTAAATACATTAATAATATTATCAATTACCAGGTGCATCTTCATCAAAGCGTGTGCGGGGACCAACAGTTGGAAAAGCAACAGCAAAAAGAATTGCCGACAATAATGGAAACAAGCTGTACATTCCAATCACGGAGACATTCAATGCATTCGAAGGTGTGCTAGCGACCCCAGGATCGAATGAGATCGGCCTTCAGATTAGGAGGATGTGCCCCATTCAAGGCGTTAACAATTGGACTGTTGCTGAGCCAGCGACAAAAGCTGCTGTTGTACAAGCTGTCCGGGTATGATTAAATTGCTTTCATAGTCTGTGTGGATGATGGAAACAATGCTTTTATAATGTGCATATAGGAGCTCATTTGTTTTCTTTGTTTACTTTGTTGGTTTTCGAAGCTTGAAAGCAGTGAAGAGATGAAAAGCTCATTTGCTTCAACTTGTGTCTATAAATAAACAGCCCATTCCATCTTAGATTTTTTGGGGAGGGGGTGTCTATAAATAAGCAGCCCATTCCAACTTATTCATGAATCATGTTGGTACATGAAATTGTTTAAGGTCCTGTGGTTTCCTTTATTTTTTTGTTTGTTGATATAGCTTTTTTAAAGTTACTTACCATAAACTTCTCTTCATTATTTTATCATTCCAATGGAAGTTAAGAGCAATGCAACCTACATAAAGTACATGACATATTATTCTTGACCACATACGTAGGACAACCATTTAGTCTTTTTAGTGAGTGCCTTGTTAACCAACAGGACAATCACAGGCTCTGTGAAATTGGATTCTGCATACATGTCTGATAAACATATCATTACAGAAAATGCCGATTCAAGTAAAATTATTTTGATACCCACAACCACATGTCTATGTTTAAATCGTTATTTGTCTACGAACATAGTATACTGGTATTCCATTTAAACGATGGCAATGTATGAAGATGCACATTATAAATGTTTGTCAGGTTGCTGCTAAATCCAGTTTAGGTGGACTGTATGGATGGTAGATGTTAAGCTCCCGTAGTCAATTTCTTAAATTGGCTTCTAATGGAAATCATCCAATTATTGGAGTAAGAGAAGTTATAGTCAATCGCAATTTGTTTTGTAGTTCACAAAATTCATAAATTGTTAGGATAAAGCTTGTGTTCTATTGTCAATGTTACTTGGTTTCTTTAGTAATGATCTCCTATTTGTGTTGCAACTTTCTGAGTCACTGTTTTTTCAATCAAGTCGTGGAGGGCCAAATCTCCTTTATATAATTCTTGAATCTGAGTCATTCCTGTTATTAGTGGAGTGTAATTTTGATGTCTATTTTTGGGCTATGCCCATGTAAAAGAAAAAGTAATAAGCCTGGTCTTGGCTAAGAGTGATGAAAATAACAAGTGTAATTTATTTATTTGTCTCCCTTCCATGATGCAAGTGTTGTCTGCTCCTAGCTGTGTTGCTGTGGGTTCAAGTCATGTGAATTAGCCTGGTCACAAAAAAGTTGGGGGTACGACTTGCCAACTAAGTACCTCTTCTGCACTGGGTATGATGACCTTCGATCATTGATGTAGTTAATACAAATTAGTCTTCATTGTATACAAATTAGCCTTCATTGCCCCAATTCATGTACCAACATGATTCATGAATAAGTTGGTCAGCAAATTCTTTCTTCACAGATTGAACTATGAAAGTGGTGGATCATATATCATGGAAAGATTATAGGGAGTCTTGGTCATAGCTCCCTCATTTAAACTAGTATGATGACACCATTTTAAGGCTTTCGCACTGTTAACATATTTGCAGCTTTCACATTACATAAGTTAAGTTACTTATTGTGTTTGTATTGATTGTAGGATAAATTTGAGATTAGGGATAATTACGAGGAGAATTCACTATCCCAAAAAGTTGTGGAAAAGAAGTGTTATGTGTTATATAAAGATTGGAAGTGCAGAATGAAGAAGAAATGGGAGAAGCTTGTGGATGCGGGAATTGATCCCTATGCTCATCCATACATAGGAGTACAATCCGATGATTGGAAGTATTTGATTGATCAAGTATGGTTGGATCCTAAAAACAAGGTATGTTATGATTTAGTTATTACTTAGTACTCTTTATCATTGTTTAACTATATATGTAACAAACCGTTATAATCTGGATTATGTAGCGTCGCTACGATGCCGGCAAACTAAATAGGAGCAAGCTACCCTACAATCATAGTAGTGGGTCGCGATCTTTTCCGGCGGCGATGAGCATTGCGGTGAGATGTGTGTCATTGATTTTATTAACTTTATCCACACATATTTAATATGTTAGTGTTGATATCGGTGTTTGGCATAGCACAGGTGAAGGAAAACGGTGGCTTGTTGCCAGATATTTGCAATTTCTACAAGGACACTCATCAGAACAAGAAGACAAAAGAATGGATTGATCCTATATGCTGTGATTTACTTGTAACTATTCCAATCATTTGGACACTTATAGTAACTACTGTGTTTGATTTATATTAACAATAGTTATATGTCACAATTACAGGAGCAAATGACAATGGTGCGGGATGAGTCTATTGAGTCTGGAACACCAATGACACAAGAGGATATATCAAGAGTGGTGCTGGGGAAGAAGAAGGGATACTTGAGAGGTTTTGGGGTCGGACCAAAGCCCTCGTCTTGTGATGTTGGGTCGAATGTGGCATCACAAGCACGTGAGGAGCACTTGAAAAGGCTTACATCCGAGTTGGAGATACTGCGTGCGGAGCAGCAGAGTGACCGTGAGGAGCAGAAAAAAAAGGAAGAGGAGCAGCAAAAAAAGGAAGAGAAGCAACAAATAAAAGAGGCAGAGAATGCAAGACAACGTGAGGAGATGTAGATGCAGATTTTTGGACTTCAGAGCACGTTGGCGCAAGTTTTGGAAAAGCTCAATCCATCAAAGTCCCCACCATAGCTACTTATGGTAATGGGTAAGTGTGTTAACCAAATTGCATTATATTTATGTTCAAAGTCAAGGCAAATAAACGTGTTATGAGAATATTAGAGAACAAATTGTGAGGCAAAAAGGGGAAAACAACCCATTCGGGGCCAAACATTGGAAACAGCACCGAAACAAATTGGTGGTAGTTTGATGGGGAGAGAGAAGATTGCGAGTGTTTGGATCTAAGCCAAGTGAGATGAGCTTTTTCTTGATGCATGAGTTCCAAAAGTTCTTGACTTCATTGTCAGTTCTACCAGGGAGGTGTTTGGCTATCTGAGCCCATCTGTTGCCTAGAATTCTATGAACATCAATGTTGATTCTCTCTTCTTGTTCAGTAAAAGAACCCCTCTTGAGATCTAGCCTCAAGTAATTTATCCACCTTAGTCTGCAACTCTTTTCGCACCTTTGCAAGCCTGCAATATCTCAACAATAAAATTAGAACAAATATTGGGTATAATGGTATTAGTACATGACAATATTAAAAGTATCACCAACCAATGATGAATCTTATATTGCGGTAGTGCAGAGTTAGATTAGTGGGTGACAAATGATGTCTACTTAATCTTATTTCTAATATTTTGATTGTCCGTGACTTGTGTCACCGTTAAACTCAATATTTGTTCCAAAATCCAGTCATTGATTTCTAGAAATGACAATACTAAGTATAAAATAGATCTTGAGCAAGTCCTATAGTGCAGTGAAATAACACCAGACTCTTAGGGATCAGCCAAGCTCAGCACCTGTATTCGATTTCCTTCTTCTATCCCTCTCTTGAAATGAGACAAGAAATAACAAGTAGAATTCATACCTGCTAGTTTAGGAACAGAACTCCAACAGCCATGGCCATGGCTACTGATGTGTGTGATGAGCTTCTCATCTTCTTGATGGGTTTTGGAGAATTGTACATGAAGGTTCTTGTTGGTATTTGTGCAATTCTTCTATTTGAAATGGTCATATCTGCGACATGCAATGTTATATTAGTGGGAATTCAACTTCTTATAATCAGTAGTGCCATTTTCCATGGTAGATTTACATATAAAATTTTCTACTTACAGATAAATCACTGATTAGGCTTATTAATTTTGTTGTTGTGATTTCGAATATGGGACAACTAACTACTTAAAACAAATTAAGCTAAATTGCAGACAAGATGTTTTTGTTCTATCCATAGATCACTGATTTTGTGATTAAAACACTGTTTATTAATTTTGAGGTTGTGAATTTGCGAACCTAAAGACAACCACTCTGAACAAATTATGTTAAATCAAGTCCATACCCTATCCACCGGTCCCAAGTATCAATAAAGACTAAACTTGACCTAGATAACTACACGAAGTCTTTCACACACAATTTGTTGACATAGTATGTACAGATGCTACCCTTCAATAAGCAACATCCTGAAAACCAATCAATTGCAACTTAGAAAATGTCCACAAGACCCATCAGCAGCTTAGCTTCAAACCCTTCACAACCCTTGACTCCTAAAAACATTTTGTCTTACCTGAATGCAAAATAAGTAGCATAAAAAATATGAGTTGAAGGTAAGTGTTTTAATTTTTTGTTTGGTGTTGGTAATATGCTTCTGATGATATGGGTTTGTTGTTTTGCTGGAACTTGTGTTGATAATCACAACCTCGTATCTTCCACTCCGCTCTCACACTTACCCTTCTCCAAATAAAAGTTCAACCAAAGCATATAGACTATTCAGAAGTAGAAAGACTATTTTAACTTAGTTTCCATTGTTGAAGCATAGGTCAATATTGGCATATTGTGGAACAATAGTTATAATTGATATATACATATGAATGATGTTTAATTTACAAAATGGTATTGATTGTCATTTAATTTGTTAATGTTTCCTTTACTTTCCATGTAGAAAAAATATTTTTTGTCCAATTTTACAATAAAGTTATGTGCAAATATTTTTAACCAAAAGTTACCTGACATTATTTTTCATTTTCTTTGGTACAGATGGATGATCTCGTGCACAAAGCTAAATTGTACAGGACTAATGGGCACTATAAGCATTTTTGGAAGGAATATATATTTTTGAATAGATGTGTATGGAAAATATTTGGGAGGAGTAGTAGTTATTTTTTTTGGATGAATGTGTATGAAAAATATTTAGATAGACTACTAGTGTGTATATTTTTTGATAGCTGAGCATGGATAACAATTTAAAACATAATAACAACTAATTGTTATGTTTTAAATTGTTATGCTAGATGGATGCGACTTGGATAATTATATAGATTACAAGTGGATTTTTAATTGGAGGAATATGTATCTTTGAAATTACTTGTGGATGAAAGTTTATAATAGTTGATGACTTTCATTAAACAAGTTTAGGCTTGAATGATTTATATTTTGTCGATTGTTCATGATTCAGTTGATTTGAATGAAGCTTGCAAATTACATATTATATTGAATGAATTGGATGAATTATTATGAATTACATGTTTATTTTGTTGGATGTTGGCGACCAAATGTTGATCTTGTTTTTTTTGTTTTGGCGACCAATTGATTAGTTGGGAAAGATAACTAATACTTTTGCCGACAAAATAATTAGTCGTTAAAATCATTAATTTTGGCGACTAAAACGGAATTTGTCGCTAATAGGTCAATTGCCGACTAAAGTTTTAGTTGCGCAAACATTTTTTTTCGCGACTAACATATTTGGTGGTGGAATGTGACAATTGCCAACCAAACTTTTTTGGTCGTGGAATGTGCCATTTGCCGACCAAACTTGTTAGTTGTGGAATGTGACAATTGGCAACCAAATTTTTTGGTTGTGGAAACGGGCCTTAGTTTCCGACCAAACTATTTAGTCGTTAAATGTGCGAATTGGCAACTAACATATTTGGTCGGGAACATATGACTTTTCGCGACTAAAATGTTTTAGCTACTAAATGAATTAGTCGCAGTAATTATATATTTAGCGACCAAAAATTTAGTCGGCAAATATGACTTTTTCGCGACTAAAAAACTTTTTAGTCGCTAATTACTTTCCGCGACCCTCAATTGGCGACCAAAGTGGCGACCAAAAAAATTAGTCGCGGATGACTTTTGGTCGGCAAAAGTGTTAATTCTTGTAGTGTTTTTGAAATTGAAATTTTTTTAGTTTGTGATTAAAAAGTTCGTTTCGTAAAAACTTTTTGATTTTTTTTTTTGACTTTTATGAGAGAAAAAGTGAAATGATTATGGTTTGAATGTGACAATCTGCCTTATTGACTTATTTAATCTATTTTATCTTTTGTGCTTTTTTAGTGATAGCCAAACGAATTAGTCGGCAAATATAACTTTTCGCGACTAAAATGTTTTAGCTACTAAATGAATTAGTCGCAGTAATTATATATTTAGCGACCAAAAATTTAGTCGGCAAATATGACTTTTTCGCGACTAAAAAACTTTTTAGTCGCTAATTACTTTCCGCGACCCTCAATTGGCGACCAAAGTGGCGACCAAAAAAATTAGTCGCGGATGACTTTTGGTCGGCAAAAGTGTTAATTCTTGTAGTGTTTTTGAAATTGAAATTTTTTTAGTTTGTGATTAAAAAGTTCGTTTCGTAAAAACTTTTTGATTTTTTTTTTGACTTTTATGAGAGAAAAAGTGAAATGATTATGGTTTGAATGTGACAATCTGCCTTATTGACTTATTTAATCTATTTTATCTTTTGTGCTTTTTTAGTGATAGCCAAACGAATGTAAATTGAAAATAATTATATAATTACCCTATCATGCTGTATTTTGTAATAATATATGAAGTGACTAATTTACCCTTTTAAGTGAAAAGGGTATTTTGGGTTGTTTTAAAAAGCTAGTTAAAAGTTGATTTTTTCGACTTTTTTTGAAAAAATATGTAAAAAATGTGAGAGATGATGTGACTAAAAATGGGTTAAAAGCTGAAAGATGGCTTTTAACCATCTTCCCAAAATAGCCCTTTTATCTGCTCTCTTATCTGCTGCAATTGCTCTCTCTCATATAATTTTTTATCCATTTTTCTTCTCCAAAATCTGATGCTTAACCTTCGTTTGGGATGTGGGTTGGCTTTTTAGCTATTTTAGCCCAAGGCTAAAAAGCTTTGTTTGAGATATGTCTTTTTTGGCTTTTTTGACTTTTGTAAGAGAAAAAATGAAATGATTATGATTTAGATGAAATATTTTGTCCTATTTGATTAAAATAACCAATTTTGTTCTATATGACTATTTTAGTCCAAATGAGCATGCCGAACATTGATCCTCTAGTTCCATCCATCCCTTTCAACATGTAAACTTGCTACATAAAAGAAAAAAAACGCAATGTTTCAATTTGCAAATCAGAATGGGAAAATCTCGTAATCTATGTACGTATATATGTGTATATATATGTAAATTTGATATATTTCTGTTTAGTTATCATTTGGTTTAATATTAGTTTGGTGTATTTATTTACACAGGAGAACATGAATTCAGAGATGTGATTGTGCAAGGAGTGAAGATGATATTGAGAGCCATCCTTTAGATCTGTTCTAATAAAGCCCTAAAACTAAGCATGGAAAGAAGACATGAGGGAAGAGAGACTACTTGCCTAATTTGGTAAGAGGGACAAGTGTGTCATTTCAACCTAAAATGTCATTCGTGAAAGGGTAATTCTATTTACAAAAAATTTCATTACATACCATTGGTCGTGTTTGTTTGGAGGTTTGAGAAGATGGATTGGATTAGTAATTCGTGGATTCCATCTATGCTATGTTTGTTTGTAGAGAAATGATATGGAATTGCTGATCTCATAGGATTATCAATCCCCTTCTATGGTAGGATTAGCATACCCATGGCAGAGGTGGGATTGTTAGTACAATCCCATTGATTATTGGCCAAAAGGTCATTTTGCCCTTTATTTTATAAAATTAATAAAGTTATGTTCTATGTGATAAGGGTTTTTACGTAATTTGCACATTTGATCTCAATTAACTAATATCACGACATTAATGCACAAATAAACACATTTTATCTTATATTTCCAAACTAATATCACTACACTAATAATCTTCTCACTCAATTACACCATATTCATAATTTTATTCAACCTAATTTACCAAACAAAAGAAGCCTCATATTATTTGAATATAAACTTTTGAATAAAAATCAAATATTCAAACATAAATAATTGAACAAAATATGTACTTGAATAATTTATTTTTGTTCATCAATTTATGCCAGAATATTTATCTTTTATTCGATAATTTATATGCAAACAAAACAAATATTATGTATTGACATGGTGGCCCCATTAAGGTATTTAAAAAAGTGTTTTTTATCGTACAAATTAGTTGAAGATTCCATGGTAAAGTTGTCTATTATTGTACCAGCACTCAAAACCAAACCAATCTTTATCATTTTTTAATGTGCATTATTTTGCATGAGCAATGGTAGAGGGCCCAAATTCTGTGGCTCAAATGTGGCTCAAATGGCCAAAACGACGTCGTTTTGAGTACAAAACAACATCAAAATGGCCAAAACGACGTCGTTTTGGCCATTTTAGCCACATTTGTGCCACAGAATTAGGGCCCCCAAACATTTTTCATTTTGCATTCTTTATTCAAGAAAATAGTGAGCCATTAGATTAACAGGCCAAAATTCAGTGAAGCTTAAAATATACTATTTAAAGTTTATATTGTTTAGTCAATTTTAAATTAATTTTTAATTTACAAGCTTATCCCCAGCCTTATATTGTAAATCAATTTTAATTTTTTTATAAATAATTTTCTGTATAGGCCCTTCATGATAATCATATCATCGAATATCTTGAGAGAAACTATTTCCTATATTTATATAGATTTATATGATGATATTGTAGAAAGAAATTGAATTCTTTGTAGTGCACTGGTTATAGTTTCCTAAGACGGCATCGTCTTGGAGTGGGGGAAAGAGGAAAGGAACTGATTTTGTTTTTTTGAATTTGTCTCAAAACAACCTTGTTTTGAGGACGATAGGGATTGTCATAAAAAAAAATTAAAGTATGTTTGGAATTTGTTTATTTTGTGTTTTTTCTCTTTGCACTTATTTTTGTTTTTAGTGATTTTTAATTGAATTCTTTGTAGTGCACTGGTTATAGTTTCCTAAGACGGCATCGTCTTGGAGTGGGGGAAAGAGGAAAGGAACTGATTTTGTTTTTTTGAATTTGTCTCAAAACAACCTTGTTTTGAGGACGATAGGGATTGTCATAAAAAAAAAATTAAAGTATGTTTGGAATTTGTTTATTTTGTGTTTTTTCTCTTTACACTTATTTTTGTTTTTAGTGATTTTTTTTTTTTAAAAAACTTTAGCCTTTTAGATTTAACTTAACCAGATGAACCGAAAAATTAAAAAAATTTCAAAAAAAGTTTAGAAAAGAAAAAAATAAACAAAAAATAGTAGACTTTTAAAGCTTATTTTGGCTTTTTCAAAATTTTTGTTAGATATTTTCAATTTTTTATTTTTATTTTTTAGATTCGCCTATATAAGATTGACCCCCAAAAAAAGAAATTGATATAATTTTAAAAAAATCACTAAAAATTAAAAAATTTGAAAAAAGTGGTAGCTTATATATGAGGAGTAATTACACCGCAGTGAAAAATTGAAAAAATATTTAGATATTAATAAAAATAAAAATAATTAATTTGTTTTTGAAAGTATCATTGATGTGATATTTTCCCGGTATATAACATCCAAAACAGCTAATAATTCACATGTGACTCTCTCATCACTCATCTCTCATCTCTCATCTCTCATCTTTCATCTTTCATCTCTAAGGAGAGAGGAATTTCAATCATACAACCAAGATAAGAAGCCTTAGTTGTGGTCTCACTGGTGCCCTCTTAACGATCTCAAAGGCAACTCCAAGGTTTTCTACCTTTGACAAAGGTAAAAGAGATTTTATATATTGTGTTTCATGTTCCTATATTTACATTTATTTTTGGTGTACTTTGATTTGAATCAATTTATGTTAAATTGGGCTTGATTAGTTGTGTTTTAAAAATATATATCTATTTAACCAAAAATTTATTTGACGAATTATTTTCGGAAATTAGAAATAATCCACTCTTTTAGAAGTACTGAAAAAATTGTTAAATTTTGAAAACTATTTTTGCATAAAAATGATAAATATATGAAAACTATAGGTGTTTTTGAACCCTAGTTGCTTTTTTAGTGGCCACGAAATTGTTGGGATATATGTGCTAATATATATATAATTTGATTATGTGATTATTTTTTCTCAATTGTCATAACTTGTCATGTGAGATAAACGGTTCAAATTGTTGATACGAGTACAACAATGTGTAAACTTCACTTGTGAAGTTGAAATTTTCAACTTTAGCAAATTTGAACATGGGTGAGCAAGGGCTCAACTACCTTGACATGAGGCTCGGGTAGTAGTGTTGAGTTTTGCATATTTTGGCTATTTCATCTCTATTTTATGTTTCTAGTGGATCAAGGATGGACCTAGAGGGGGTGATCACCCTCCTACAATTTAAAAAACACCATTTATTTATTTTTTGATTAGAAAAATAAAGATTTTATTGATAGTGAAAAAGTACAAGAAGAAAACTTGACTGAGTTGCATCATAGTTCAAAAATACATCCTAACTAGGTTGGCACTCATAATTGAGCCCAATCATATGCAAGCCAAGACCTAAATAAAAGGTTGATGAGCCCTCAACCAAAACAGAGCAGATACAAGAGTAGCACAAAAGTAAAGCATTCCTTAATTTGTGGCCCTTTATTGCTTCCAAGCAATGCATGAAGTCATGAATTGTGTAGTCTGATAGGTTGCTGTAGTGCTTCACCCACGTAGCCACTTTGATTTTAATGTTGTCCACGATATCCCCCCAGATAGAGGTTCTTTGAAATTGAATACTTTGTTATTTCTAGCAATCCATAGGTTCCAAAGCACTGCCAATGGAACTGCTTCCCAGATAAATCTGCCCAGATTTGTGTATTTCTGCCCATACCACCATAGCAGCAAATCTTGTATAGAGCCTGGTGTGACCCACTGAGAACCCCACCAATTTATAATATTATTCCAAACCTTCCAAGAGTGGTGACAGTGCAATAGCAAGTGGGCTGCAGTTTCATTCTCAATACCACAAAAAGCACAATGATTGGATGTGGGTATGATTTGTCTTCGAGCAAGGAGATAAGAGGAAGCAATGCGATCCCACCATACAAGCGAACCGAAGGCTTTGATTTTACGAGGTGCTAATGATTTCCACAACTTCATTATTGGGAAAGGTGATAATCGAAGGGAGTCTTCAAAGGCATCATAAAGGGACTTGACAGAAAAGGATCCTGTTGGCATAGGAGTCCATATCAAAGCGTCTTCATAATTTCTTCTACTAGTATGAGGTTGTTGCAGTCTACTGATCATCTCATGATGTAATTCCTCTTCCCATACCCTCAAGCATCTCCTGTAATCAATATTCCATTGGGTATGATTATCCATACTCTGCTGCATGTGATGATAGACGAGTGAGTCTTTGTTTGTTGCTAGAGAGAAGAGTCTAGGGTAGAGGATGGACAAAGGAGTAGATGAAGCCCATGCATCTAACCGAAATTTGATCCGTTTGCCATCTCCTAGCTTGAATTGAATATTCTCCAAAAATAGGTTAACTGCTCTAGATCCATACCTTTCCATTTCAGAAATGTTCTTCCAGCCTGTAGAACTGTTTCTGAAAGAGAGCCATTTGGTAGCCAACAATCTTCATTCACATTATTTTTGGCACAGAGAACTTTCTTCCACTGGGATCCTTTTTCAGTGGCAAATCTCCGCCACCATTTGCACAACAAAGTGTCATTACCTTTGTCTTTCTAAATCCCAAGCCTCCAAATTTCTTGCTGACAGATCATGCCTCCCAATTTAATAAATGTAGCTTTCTCTTATCATCACTATCCCCCCAAAGAAAGGACCCTCTGGTATTTATCAATCAAGCTTGCCACTTTGACGGGAATTCTATAGAGGGGCATATAATAAAGTGGAAGAGAAGATAGCACTGATTTAATTGAAGTAATTCTTCCTCCAAGAGAAAGGTACTTTCTTTTCCAGGATGATAACTGTTTCTTCACTTTTTCAACAATGGGCTCCCAAGTAGTGCTCTCTTAGGGTTATCTCCAGGAGGCATGCCTAGATATTTGATTGGTAATGACCCCACTTTGCAGTTTAAGTACTCAGCTACTTGTGATGTGAAGTCACTGCTGGTTCCAACTCCACAAATTACAGACTTACGGTAATTAATCTTCAATCTGGATATTAACTCAAAGCATCCAAGGCAAGGTTTTGAAAAGTAGTTGCGGTCGCTGTAACGGTTGCGGTGACGCAGTAACGGTTGTGGGGTATAAAGGCGGCCGTAGTGTACCGGTTGCAGTAACCGGAACCGTGATTTTTTTATTTTTCCGCACAATTTGAAGAAAATTTACTAATACGCATATATATATTTTTTTTCAGAATCACATTTTTTGGGATTTAAAATAAATTTTGATTAATTTTTGTTATTTTTAAAATATGATCCAATATATTTCATATTTTCAAATCACTATAAAAGGAGTTTTTTACATTTTATTTCAGTAGTTAATGATTTTAAAAATAATTGATTTTAAATGTCTACAAATTATTTTTCACCAATACATGAACTAATTGAATAAAAAATATTCACAATTATTAAATGAAAGGATTATAAAATAAAAATTATGCCATAAAATAAAAAAAATTATAAAGAAAAAAATTTATATAAGATTTTTTCTTTGGGTTTGGATCACTTGAATATTTGTTCATTTTTTTTTGTAAGTTTTAGGTTTTTTTGGGAAAAAGAAGCTATTCAAAATATTGTAAAAGGATGTAACGGTATCTAACGGACTGTTACGGCCGTTATGGTACCACTACGACTGTTATGTAATACCAAAACAGCTGTTACACATATGAATTTTCGTCCGGGTGGCGGTAACCACCACAACCGTTACATAACGATGTTACGTAATGGTTGCAACCACTTTTAAAACCTTGATCCAAGGAGTCTTCTTAAATTAACAATCTCATCATACTCCGAGTTACAAAACACAAGGGTGTCATCTGCAAATTGTAAGTGTGATAGGTTCAGCCCAAAATTTCCAATATCAACGCCTTTGACAAGATATAATCCTTTAGCTCTTTTGATGGGAATATTGAGCTTCAACCACAAGATTAAAAAGAAAGGGAGATAGAGGATTCCCTTGTCTTAAGCCTCTCCGTGGAGAAAATTCCTGAGAAGGGGAGCCATTTACCAAAACAGTGATGTGGGGAAAAAAAATACATTCTTTAATCCATGATATCCATCTTTCACCAAACCCAAATTTCTAAAGCATATATAGGAGGAAATTCTAGTTGACACTGTCAAAGGCCTTTTCAAAATCTAATTTTAAGAGAACTCCACACCCCTAGAGTTATGTTTCCACAAATCAACAACTTCATTGGCTATGAGAATACCATCCAAGATTTGTCTTCCTTTGACAAAAGCTGATTGGGTTTCATCTAACAGTTTGGGCATGATTGATTTTAATCTCCTTGATAGAATTTTTGCTTCTATTTTATAGACACATCCTCAAGGTTTTAAAAAGCGGCTGCAACTGTCACGTAATGCGGTTACATAATAGTTGTAGTGATGACCGCCACCCGTTACGGCCGCTATATAGCAGTGTGACGAAAATTCATATATAACGGCCGTTTTGGTATTACATAACGGCCGTAGTGGTATCGTATCGGTCATAACGGTCTGTCAGACACCATTACACCCTTTTACAATATTCTGAATAGCTTATTTTTTTCCAAAAAACAAAAGTTTTCAAAAAATGAATAAATACTCAAGTGATCCAAACCAAAAAAAAAAAAATCATATATGAATTTTTTTCTTTATAATTTTTTTTTTAATTTATGACATAATTTTTATTTTATAATCCTTTCATTTAATAATTGTAAATATTTTTTATTCAGTTAGTTCATGTATTGGTAAAAAATAATTTATAGACATTTAAAATCAATTATTCTTAAAATTATTAACTATTGAAATAAAATGTAAAAAGCTCATTTTATAGTGATTTGAAAATATGAAATATATTGGATCATATTTTAAAAATAACAAAAATTGATCAATTTTTTTTTTAAATCCCAAAAAATGTGAATCTGAAAAGAAAAAAAAAATATGCGTATCGGTAAATTTTTTTCAAATTTTGAGAAAAAAAAAAAATCACAATTCCGGTTATCGTAACTGTTACGCTACGGCCTTTACACCCCACAACCGTCAACGCAACCATTACGATTACCGCAACCGCTTTTCAAAACTTTGCATATCCTATTAAACTGACAGATCTATAGTCCAACAAAGAAGATAGGTTAGGGATTTTTGGAATCAGAGTTAAAAAAGAAGAATTAAGACCATTTTAAATTCTGCTGTTGTGATGAAACTCATTGAGGAAAAGACAAATATCATCTTTGACAATAGCCCAGCACTTTTTGATGAACTGCATGTTGAATCCATTTGGACCCGGTGCCTTATTTCCTTCACAACGTTTTACTGCATCCCATATTTCAGATTCTGAAAATGACTCTTCTAAAATTCTGGCATCACCATCTGATAGTGAGTGTTCAAAATGCCCCGAGAATGCGGGTCTTGAGGGCCACTTTTTGGAGAAAAATTCTGAAAATGTTGCTTGACTCCTATTTTTATCTGCTCTAGATCTTCGATACTTACGCCATTAATGATTAGGCTCCCTAAGGAATTTTTCCTTTGTCTTGTGCTTGCCACCATATGAAAATACTTAGTATTTCTGTCTCCCTCCTTGAACCAAATTTGTCTCAATTTTTGTAGCCAAGTAGATTTAATCAACCTTAAGGTCTTCCAGAATTCTAGCTTCCACTTCCTCTTATTGGCTTATATTATAGTAGTATTAGCTACAATTATTTACAAATTATAGATATTGCCCCCACTAAATTTTTCTTCTTTTACAAATTTTAAGGATCATCCTCTCTAGATTAAAAAAAGAAAAAGAAAAAAAAAAAAGGTGACTGTTACTCTATATCTATGTAACATGTGATCAAAATATAAAATTCAAAAAAATAGACAAAATATAATAAAAGAAATTAATTTTTTAAAACTAGTGTTAATTACAAGCTATAGTCTATAATAGAGGAAGATAGCAGTTAGTTACTTGATCACGTTAGTGGAAATTGATATTATAATTCATACTTTCTTTTTAAAAATTTTGTTTGTATATATATGTTTCCCCTTATATGAAAATCCTAGGTCCATCGCTGTAGTGGATTTACCTCTCTCTTGTGGATGTAGGCATTTGGGCCGAACCATGTTAAATATTGTGGGGTTATTTTTTGTGTGCATATATTTTGTGGATATGCTTCCATTGACACATGAATTCATAATTTATACGGTGTTATCAGAGTTTTTTATGGCGGGTATTTATTTTTCCCAATAGAAATCTTAAGATGTAATAATAATTTAAATGAATGTATTTGAATAAACACTAGTTGCTCTTTTAGCAGCCACAGAATCAATATATATTTATATATGTATGAATGTTATATCTGGTAAGCTATATTTATGCAAACACATATGTATGTTAAAATGTAAAAATAATTTAAATGAATGTATTTGAATAACTATTATTGTTTTTATATAATTTTTTACTATGTAATTATGACATCATTGTTCAATTCCGGTTAAATTGACGGTTAAACTATCCGGTCATTTTTCTGGTTTGATAAATGGTCCTGGTCTTAGAACATTGGACCCTCACTAAGATTGTCCTTTTTCAGATATTGCATATTTCAATTACATCATTGTCTGTGATTATTGCTAAAAAGTAAGCTTCATGTGGCCTTTTAGTATTCATATAGTAGTTATATATATATATTTTTTATAAACAAAATAAATAAATTCTTTGGATGCTTTTATTAATTTTTGTAATATTTAATCTATGTAACTAGAAGAAGTCACATTTGTTGGATGCTGCAGAACCTTTGTGAATTATATAGGCCATGGGTTGCATGAGTTCTAAAAGGGTAATCTATGTGACCCCACCACGTCCAACTCAAAGCTATGGTGGCCAACCTCCAGAGCCAGAAAGGAAGTTTGAGAACATAGACGAGGTAACATAATTTTTTAAACTTATTTCAGTAATAATAAAAGGGCAAGATGATTGCCAATAATGTGGAAATCAGAACATTAGTGGCATGTTTGATTGGGTGGATTAGAACATGGGATTGAGATTATTAATCCGTGGGCTCAATTATCTTATGTTTGTTTTGACATTTTGGTTTATGGATAATTAATCCAACAAATTTGTAGGATTATTAGTAATGGGGTAGGGGTGGGATTATTAATCCAATGGATATTAATCCAATTGGATAGTGAATACCACACTAATTTAATAGGATTATTAATACTTCACTATTAATCTTTTGAATCAAACATGACCTAGGTGTACTATATTGCAATGTGTAGAGCTTTCTTGCGGTAGGTGGCATCTTTTGAAGGATCTACTTTAATTTCTAGAAAATTAATGCCATTTTAATCTTTGAGCTGGTTGTGATGTCTGAATCGTGCTACTCATAATTCTGCATGGAACCTAGATATTAGTGTTTTCATTGATATTATGATTTTTGAATTTTGAGTTTGATCTCATAAGTATTGAGGTTGGAAAGCATTGGTTATGGAACTCTTGGTATTAGTAATGTTATGGTAAACACTTCTCTATTTATGAATGATTTTAGATTTAATTGTACCAGGTGTTTCAATGATTGCCACAGAGAACTGACATTATTAGGCGTATGATATTGCAATATTGATTTTTGTATCAAAATGTATGTCATAACAAATGGATTTATCTGTATGGCCTGGCTGAATAGTGCATGTTTGAATTGTTTGCAAAGCACAATGCTTTGTTTTGCCTTCTTTTATTGGTTGATTACTCATTAAATATTGCATATTTGTGTGATGTCTGTATATGTGATTGGTACAAATGAATTTGATCTTGATATTCAACTACATTACTGAGAGATTTACAATCAGTATTTATAGAGATAAGCTATCTCTTAACTATAACTCCTAACCACTTAACTGAACCATAACAACTATCTGACTCTAGTTCTAACAAACTAACAACCTCCAAGCTTTAGCTGAGCTGCAGCTCATACAGTTGCTGTCTGTCCTGTATCTGGCTTAGGCTGCAACTGTGGTACGTAAGACTTGAGCCGTTGTAGCTGAGGAGATGACTGACCATCTTGATCATGATCAGTATGAGGCTTGGATGGATGCTTATCATTACCTACATGGGTGATCCCATTTGAAAAATTATCTTAAAAAGTAATAACCCAACTAAGTTTACTTCTTTTCCAACAGGTTACGACAGCCTTAGCACTTGATGGCCTAGAAACTTCAAATCTTATTCTTGGCATTGATTTTACCAGGAGCAATAAGTGGACAGGTTTGATCTCATCTTAGAATGTAAGTTTTTTTTAGTATACATGCCTTAACTTGTGCTGATACTTGGTATTAGGTGCAACGTCATTTCATGGGAGGAGCTTGCATCATAGTGGTGATGAACAGAACCCTTATGAACAAGCAATATCAGTTATTGGAAGAACATTATCTGGCTTTCATGACAATAACTTAATTCCTTGTTTTGGATTTGGAGATGGTATGTTCTAATGAAGAAACCTTTAATGTAGCGTTTAGTACATTTTTCAGATAATGGTGATCATATGTTAATTCAATGTTGGCAGCTTCAACGCTTGACCGAGACATCTTTAGTTTCTATCCAGATAAAAGAATTTGCAATGGATTTGAGGAAGTGCTGAAACGATATAAAGAATTAGTCCCTCACCTAAAGCTTTCCGGTTGAAATTTGTTTCATGCATTTCCTTTATTGTTCTTATACTAGTCGTATTCTGCAGCTTTTGATATTTTTGGCTTCTTTTATGTGGCAGGACCAACATCATTTGCTCCCATCATTGAAATGGCCATCACTATTGTTGAGCAAAGTGACTGCCAATACCATGTTTTAGTAATAATAGCAGATGGACCGGTATCTATTTTTGTTCTGGATTTTTTAGTTTAATATGATATTTTGTCTAAGGTAGGTTTGTTTTAATTGCCTGATGTGCCGTAACTTATATTGCAAATGGCACATATGAAGCCAAACTGCCACTTTTGCCTGATGATATGCCTAATGGTATTGTATGTAAAGTTTATTTAGTGGCAATATGTATATGAAATTCAAGGTCTATATTCCAATTATCAAGTTCTCTATCTTGCTTTGTTGATCACATTTCAACTTCAGACTCTCAAGGTCCTATTAATTACTGGTTGTCATAGGTGACAGGAGCTAAGGGTAGTTGGGATCCAAGCCCCCTGGAAGAGGAAACTATTAACGCTATTGTGAATGCAAGGTAACTTGCAGGTTGTAAATTTCCTTTGTGATAGCTCTGTTGCCAAAACACTACAAATGCCAAAACATTTTCAAATGTGCTTCTTGTTTGTTTGTAGAGAATATCCATTGACAATAATTGTAGTTGGAGTTGGAGATGGACCATGGGACACGATGAAGAACGTTCTTGGGCACCCTTCTGTTAGGAACTATAAGAATTTCCAGGCAAATATTAATAGGAGTCTAGCAGACAATTGAAGTTCATCTTGTCTGTTTGTCCTATTCACTCTAATCCATGTTTTTCCTATTTAGTTTGTGAATTTTACAGAAATTATGTCGAAGGATATGGACATATCTAGGAAAGAAGCAGCGTTTGCTCGAGCAGCCTTGAGGGGAATACCATCACAATATAAAGCAACATTAAAGCGTCAAAAATTGGGGTAACAATTAGAATTCTCTACATTAGAGTTGAGGATTTGGTTTTTATGTCCATGGTCAGATTTTGTATGATTTATTTATTTATGTTACTTTGTTCAATCAGTCGTCCTAGTGGGCAGGCTATAGTCAGGGTTCCTCTGCCCCCGCCACCCACATCAAAACATCCACAGCCTAGCAGTTTCCACCCAAGTGAATCTGATTTCGATGGACATAATGTGCCCACCGGGACAAGTCAGCCTGCAAGTTCTATGTCAGATGATCATGTAAGTGCATTCTCATCACTTTTCTAAAAGAACATCGTTTTTTCTCTTTTTTTTGAAATTCCCTATTTTCTTGTTTTTAGCCTCCTTTAGTTGTGGAATAATGAATTGCAACATCATAAAACTTAGTTTGTGGTTCTTGTATGATCTTATGCTCCATTTGCTTGACTTTTCATGTAGTCAATGGAAAACAAGCCTCTTTGGATTAAAAATATTTTTCATTTTCAAAAAGGTTTTCTGGACTAAGATCTTACTTACTAATGCCACCATCACCACCATCACCACCTCCACGCCTACCACCACCACCACCACCACAACTAATGCAATCATTAGTATATTACTAGTCTTAAGGATGGAACCAAATATAAGAAATGTTCTTTTCGTAAACGAGCATTGAATCAATTGAAACTTTCTTCTTTATTTTGCCTACTCAGTAGGTTTGCTCAAATCTGCTTCATTAATCCAAAGAATATGGCATTTGGTTGCGGATATCAGGTAAAATAGTCAATTCATATTACAAGCCCTTCTTCAGGAAAAAGTTGAAGCTGCGTTGATGATTTGACTTAATGTTTATTTGCAGACTTGCAGCGATTGTGAGGAAGATCTTCAGTTATGTCCCATCTGTCAAAGCACCATCCAAACCGGGTTAAAACTTTATTTAAATGTCATCTAATATTGTGGAAACATTGCTCATCACATCTTGTGATATGTACATATTTTAACTTTTTGATTCATGTGAGACGTTTGTTTGTGCACTATATCTTTTCTATTGATGAGCTTTGTAAATTTGTAATCTACTTTCGAGTGCCTGAGGTCTTTGTTTCACCTTGTGATGAAGTGAGATATCTATAGGATCATAAGTTCTGTGCTGGCTTAAATCGCTTAATCGACTTCTTTGCTGATTTTGTGGATCTCTTCCATTACGAAAAGTGGAAGAGGGACCCTAGACCGATTTTCCCTAGTTTTAATATCAGCTTTCATTATATCCCGAATGATTCGACTTCTGTGGTTCTTTTTGGTTTTCAGCTCTTCACATAAGAGCATAAAGTTTGTATGCTATGCTTTATTTTTATGAGCATGGTTAGAAAAATTTGACAAACCTAGGGTTTCTAATTGAAGTTTGGTTTCGGAGTTTCCGATCATTGAATCGGTCAAATTGAGTTTGTGTAAATCGAATTGTCCAGTGTTGAAGACGATCGAGAGGTCTTTCAGTGAGTGGAAAGAGATGAGCCAGTGAAACTTTCATCTGATATATGTTTAGGGACCTTAGACATCAAAAAATAATTTTGTGGATCTCTTCCATTACGAAAAGTGGAAGAGGGACCCTAGACCGATTTTCCCTAGTTTTAATATCAGCTTTCATTATATCCCGAATGATTCGACTTCTGTGGTTCTTTTTGGTTTTCAGCTCTTCACATAAGAGCATAAAGTTTGTATGCTATGCTTTATTTTTATGAGCATGGTTAGAAAAATTTTCCTTTTTTATGTATTATATATTTTTTTGCATTTTTCATTTTTTTGGTAATATGAGGCCAGTCATGCGTAATATGTAGCGTAGTGGTGATGTTGGTGAGTTTATAATAATGTATATTAATATTTATATTTAATATTTATAAATTCGGTCAGAATTAAGTAAGTTTTATGTGACTTAAATTTTTTTTAAGTTTTACTTTATATTTTAAAAGGTATTTAAAATTTTAAATTATATCAATGGTGATTATTAAGCAGATTTAATTGATTATCACTTAATAAATTTTACTCAATCAGATTATTATACATTCTTAAAACTTATTTCTAGTTAGTTTTTAAATTTTTTTTTTAATTAAAAAAACGTGAAAGTAGAGGTGGGACACTACAACAAAAAACATTTTTGGCATTTTTTTAGCAACCAAATTGAATTTAGTTGCCAATTGTATGTTTTGGTGACAATATATGTATTGGTCGCCAAAAAATAAACTATTAACGACCAATATCTCAATTGGTCGCCAAAAATGTTTGGTGCCAATTTTATTTGAGTTAATTTTAAACTTATTTTGAGCCACATTATTTCTCGCATAAAAAATGTCAAAAAAAAAAATAAATAAATAAAAAAGCTAGCTTTTAACTATCTTTTCAAAATATCCATTACACAGTGATGACATTATTATGATAATTTTATTATATGATAAAATTATAATAAAAAAAAGAAAAATTTAATAAAATATCTCCCTCTAATTTTATGTAGTAAGAGAGATTTAAGATATTTTTTTATTAGTTAAGGTTCATTAAATTTCTCTGAGTCGAACGAAATTTTTATAAAAATGTTGAGGAACCTTAACTATTGTGAACATATTATATATTATTTATTTTATAAAATCTTAATATTAAGAATTTTTACAAAAATTCTCCTAAGAAAAAAGTTTATTGTTTGGGATTTTACCTATTTTGTGATTTTTTTTTATGTGACTTATTTTCATTTTTATTTTTATTGAACTTTTTAAAAAAATTCAAAAAATTTTAGGCTTTTAGATTAAGTTCAATAAAATGAACAGAAAATTAATTTTTTTTCAAAAAAAAAAGTCTAGAAACAACAAAAATAAGCAAAAAAATAGTACATTTTTTTTTGGCTTTTTAATTTTTTTTATAGAAATTTTAATTTTAGTTTTTTTACTTTTTAGATTCGTCTATACAGAATTGATCAGAATAATTTAATTTTGTTTATGAGTCTGAAAGAAGAAAATTTTAACTTCGTTTACTTTTTAATTTTGTTTTACCTATTGTTTAAAAATTTATATCCAAACAAAAGGAAACACATATACTCCTTATAACTAAAAAAAAAAAATGACATATCTCCCTACTTTATGACTCATGACTTAGAAATATATATATATATATATAACTAAGCCTTCATTTGGGAAGTTGTAGTGCGGGGCTTTTTAGCTATTTTAGTTACAAAAAAATAAAATAGGTTTTTTAGTCTAATATGACAAAATATCACATTCAATCTATAATCATTACATTTTTTCTTTCACAAAAGTCAAAAAACTCATCTCAGACGAGATTTTTTAATTCCAGACTAAAATAATCAAAAAGTCAAAAAGTTAACTCACTTTCCAAATGAACCCTAAATATTACATGGGATATAACTAAAAATCTCATTAATTATAATTAAAATAATATCACCATTAAAGAAAAAAAAATAATGTTAACTAAACAAAATAATATAATTAAGATTCATACGGTACACTCATTTCAAAAGACGTGTATGCTAGAATTTCTTCCAAAAATAAATGACGTCTAGTGAGATTTCTTGGAGGCTAAGAATAAAATTTCCCAATTCCATTTCTGGAATTTTCCTGGAACTAGCTGCGCCGGCGATAAGGATATATACCAACCAAGCAAGCTTTTTTTATTTTTTATTTTTTTATTATTTTAATTTTTTTTAAGTGTTCTGCTTTAAAAAAAGCGTTCTTTATCGTACATGTCAGTAATGTCCCCGCACTAAAAACCAAACCTTTTTCATTTTTTAATGTGCATTATTTTTTGCATTTTTTATTCAAGAAAGTAGTGAGTGAGTAGATTAAGAATAATGTTTGAGGGTCACAATTTTTGTAGCTTAAATGGTTTAAAATTGTCAAAACGATGTCGTTTTGGTATGTTTTGTGCTCAAAACGACGTCGTTTTGACAGTTTTGAGCCATTTGAACCACAAAAATTGTGGCCCTTTATCATTGCCCGTAGATTAGCAAGGTAAAATTTAACAAATTTTAAAATATATTCAAATATATATTATTTGTATAATAAATCAATCACAAATTAATTTTTAATAATTCAAATAAAGAGCAGGCAATTATGTTTAGGTTAAGTTTGGCATCTTCAAAAAAAATTAAAAAGTCAAAAAGTCACTATCCTATTTAAGTTACATCATTTTATTTAAATCATATTACTTCTCTACCACATCACTTCAAACACAACCCATATTTCATAAAAAGTCAAAAAGTACACTTATTTAGAATATCCCAAACAACCCCTTAATTTACAAGCCTATCTCCACTCATATATTGTAAAAATATGATCTGAAATCTAATGAATTTTAAAAAAATTAATGATTGATTTTTTTAATGAGCTCGTCACGATAATTGGATCATTAAAATAAGTCAAAAATAGGTCTATCAAGCTCAATAACACCTTTGAAGTCTATTTTGAAAAGATGAGGATGTGTTTACCTACCTAGCTATCTCATAGCATTGCCCCTCCTATAATTATCACGTCCAACACTTTTGTCACTTTTATCTCTAAGTAGGGGTGTAATTTTGGCCCGTGACCCGTGGGCGGTCTGAAGCTTGCCTGCGGCCTGAGGTGGGCCCGGCCCGTTTAGGCCCGAGCCTAAGCCCAGCCCGAGGCCTTGGCCCGGGGCCTGGGCCATCGTTTTGAAGCCTGGCCCGCTCAGCCCGACCCGTGGCCCAGCCCATCGGCCAGTCAAAAGCCCGGCCCGCGCCGAGACCAGTTTTATTTTTAATGAAAAATAATAAAATTTTGATGGAAAAAATTAAAAAAATTGTTTAGGCCGGCCCAAGCCCGCCCAAAGCCCGAGCCAAGGCCCAAGCCCAAGGGCCCCACCCGAGGCCCGACCCATTGGCCCGCTCAAAGCCCAAATACCCCTAGGCCTGGGCTTGGGCCTGGGCCTAGTTTTCTGGCCTGTCGTCCGGCCCGACCCGGCCTGAGCCTGAATGGGCTGGGCCAAAATTACACCCTTATCTCTAAGAAAAGAGGAATCTCAATAATTCAACTTCACCAATATAAAAGGCCTTAGTTTTAGTCTTCTTCGCTGGTGCCCTCTTAACGATCTCAAAGGCAACTCAAAGGTTTTCTACCTTCGCCAGAGGTAAAAATGATTTTATATATTGTGTTTTATGTTCCTATATATTTACATTTATTTATGTACTTTGATTTGAATCAATTTAGGTTAAGTTGGGCTTGTTTAGTTGTATGTGTGTGTGTGTGTGTGTGTTTTAAACCAAAAAATTATTTGACAAATTATTTTCGGAAGTTATAAATAATCCACTTTTTTAGGAAATACTAAAAAAATTGTCAATTTTTGAAAACTATTTTTGCATAGAAATGATAAATATAAGAAAACTATAGGTGTTTTTAGATTTTGGATTTGCTAAAATTGAAAATCTCAATTTCACAGCCAAGTTGGTTCATTATCAAACTAACTTAGACTCACCTCATCTTATGCAACTCACTAAGAAAATTATCCATAAAAAAAAATTAAGTTGATTCAATATCGATTGTCATACTATTAGATTATTTTTATTTATATGGCCTACATGTTTTTAATAATAGACTATCTATATGTTATATATATATGTGGAATAATGTTATACGCACCAATTTATATACTAATTAGTGCACCAATTGATGATGTGGCATAATTTAAGAGATTTTTGGTATTTGTAATGTGATTAACGAGTGGGGTCAATAATAATGTCATAACTAGTGTTGATACATTAGTAAGTACACTAATTGGTGTATGTAGTACCACCGATATATGTGTGATTTGATCATGTGATTATTTATATCTGATCAACTTAATTTTTTTTTCATGTATGTTCTTCTTAACTTGTTATATGAGATGAACGGTTTAGATTATTGGTACGGGTACGGATTAGTTTTATAATGCATCTAACCTCACATGTGAAGTTGAGATCGTCAACATTAACAGATCTAAACTCGGGGGAGTAAGGGCTCAACTAACTTGACATGGGTTCAACTAGTGGCATGAGTTTTGGGTATTTTGGTCATCGTATGTGTACTCTCTATTTTATGTTTATAGTGAATTTACCTCTATCGTGGATGTAGGCATTTGGACTGAACAACGTTAAATATTGTGTGATTATTTTGT